TTTGATACTTGCCTAACATGCATGTGCTGTAAAAATAGTTAATGGGGAAATAACTTGAGATGATGGCTAGCTTTGTTTAATGTCTTAAGAAATTTTCATGAACAATCTAAGTGTAATTGTTAAGAACATATGTATTAAGTTCATGTAAGTGGAATAAAAGTTTTATGAATGGAAAAAAAAGTATGGAATTTATGAATTTATATCTAAAATAAAGAATTAAAACCAGGAATGTTGGCGTACACATGTAATCCCAGCACTAAGGAGGCTGAAGCAGGAGGATCTGGGCTATATAAGAGAGTTCAAGGCCAGCCAGCACTACGTAGCAAGACCCTGTTTAGAAAAATTCAGTATCTAGCTATACTATAACCAGTAATTTCTTTGAAACGTTGGCATAATAAGATTTCTATTATAAAAATACTTTAAGAAACAAAATTGAAAGCACTTAATCTAATAGAGGAGAATTTTATATCAAATGTTCATGTTTTTCTCACCATGAAAAAGAAGTGGAGATTTGTCTTCATTATATATAGCTTTACTCAGGATTTATACTAGACCATGCATTTGACCAACTGAAGAGCTCTGTGTGAAGTACCCCACCACATGCCCTGCATTGGCTCATCAAAGTGCTTGCTGAAGCAGCCCAGCAGTTACTGGAAATGGATTGATTTGAGAACCTTTATTTAGCAACAGGTCCACTGGTTTCAGCTCAGTGGCTTCAGCTGCCTCTCCTGGTCATGTCACTTATATAATACGTAGGCCAGAAAGTGCTGTGTGCATGGCCCTTGCCCCTTGAGTCGAGCTGAGAGAACATAAGCTGTAAGTTGTTTCCAATGAAGTACATCACTACTGGAACTGAGGAGCCTTAGGAGTAGTGAGGTGTGTTTGGGATGCCCTGCCCTGCATTTATTGCCACATTCACTATGAGTGATGAGCAGTTCAGCTTGTATAGAAGACCTCCATTGCCCACCACCTGCCCAAGACCTCAAATGTTGCTTTCTCGCCTGAGGTCAGCTAAAGAGACACCTGGGAGCAGGAGAGTGTCTCCCTCCTTTTTTCCTTCACCCTCCTGCACCTTTCTTACCACAGTCTCACATAGCCCTGAGCCATTCTGAAAACTCCTTTGTTTCCTCTTCACCTTAAAGAAATGTTTGGCACCAGTGACTAAACCAAGGCCTTCCCCTGAGCTACATCTCTGGGCTATTGTTAGGTTTTATTCTGAGATAGACCCTCCCTAAGTTGCCCAGGCTGGGCTCAGATTTGCCTCAACCTGCCTAAGTGCTGACATTATAGACATGTGCCAGTACACCTGGCCTAATTTATTTCTTTTTGGTTTGAGAGAGGGTCTCACTGTATATCCCAGGCTGGCCTTGATTTACTATGTCACCCTAAGATAGCCTCAAGCTTATAGCAATCCTCCTGCCTCAGCCTCCTGAGTGCTAAGATCACAGGTATGTGACACCAAGCCCTGCTCCTTTATTAAATTTTGAGATATAATCTCACTAAATTATCAAGGCTGGACTTGACCCTGACAATATTCTACCTAAATTCCCCTACAATATCACATTTTATCAAAGCATGAAATATAATACCTAATAGCAAAGATTTTATATAGTTAAATATATGTCACATAGTCTTCTAAATTCTTAATGCATATTCACTCATTTCGTCTTCCCAGAAGTCTAGTGAGGTGTAAATACTTTTATTATCTTGAATTAGCAGATGGAGAAAACAAGAGAGTTCCATCTTATGACCCCACTTCAGGTAGCTGGTGGAGCAGGGATTCAGGCCACAGCATGCTGGCCTCTATCTGGGTACTGTTTCTCAAACAGTTCCAAGAGCCATCTCAATGTTACTGAAGTACCATGTCCATTTTATCATCATTGACATTGTCCTTGTCAGTCACATGTAAGACTTTTTTAAGCCATAGAAAATGAATGGTACTTGGAATACATAGAGTATAGTATAATGTTTGGAATGTAAAAATATACAAGTACAACTAAAAGGACAGCATGAGTAAAGGAATTTCCTCTTTTTCCCCCATTTTACCATGTTTGGTTTTTTTTCCTGCAGCGCAGGGATTTCCCTCATTGCCCCGGCTGGTCGAGTGCCTCAGCCTCCCAAGTCACTAGGCTATAGGTGCACAGCACTGCGGCAGCTTTCCAGTTTTGTCAGGTTGAGACCCTGATAACATAGCTAAAATCAGGAATAGCATGTTTCAGATGTAGAGCAAGGGTCGATAAATTTTTCTGTAAAGGTCCAGACAGTGTTGTTACTTTGGGGATTGTGGGTCATAAGATCCCTGCTTCAACAATTCAGATAACTCTGTAGTTGCAGAACAGAGTTAAGTATTTATTTAAATTTATTTAGTACTGAGAATAGAACTCAGGGCCTTGTGTTTGCCAGGCCCCCCATGGACATAACTACACAGTACAGAGGTGGAGCATTATGGCTATATTCCAGATAATTGTAACACACTGGTGATAGGCAAGTCATTAGTAATTGTTTTCTTTTTAATTTCAGCTGGAAGAAGTGCAGGATCGACATGCAGAAGCTGTGCGACATGCTGAGAAGATGCAAGAACGCCTACAAAAGTATGATTTAAAGCAGTATACAAAGCACTTGGGTATTTATAAAGTACATGAGCAAGAGAATGTGGGATGTGTCAGTTATATCATTAATAAATCTCTGTCAAGCCAGAGGACAATTCCAGCCTTGGTAGAGTTACTTGAAATGTGTAAATTAGGGCTGTGGATATCGAGCAGTCGTAAGCACTGTGGCCTCTGCTTCACATGTGAGGCCACACGTTCAGCCCCCAACACTGCAGAAGAAAAGCTATCCACAAGCACAGCTAGAGGAATGATAATTACCAGATCATCTTCTTTTTCTAATTTTTAAAATTGTGTAGTCTTTCAAATGTTCAAACATTATACGACTTTTGTAAATAGGTCTGTGAAAATAATTTTTGAAATAAATATTTTAGGTTTGAACTTGAGAATTCCAGGTTAAAAGTTAAAATAAAAAAGCAAGCAGGGAAAACTGAACATCTTCAGAAAACCCTATTAAGTGCAAATTTGGTAAGTCAGTCTCTTTAATTTCTATCATACCCAAAAGGAGTCTTTATTTCTCTACTAGTATACAGGAATATTTTAGGCAATATGAAAAATATTTGTCATAATCATATTGATAATACACTGCTATTAGTGAGGTCCTCTTTATAGAAGGTAAATGATTTCATGTAATTAATGAGTTCAGTCATATGTTAATAAAAAAGATAGTGATAGTTTAAAATCCATATTTTGTACATACATTTTGTTTATCCATTATCCACTAATGTACTTAAAAGTTATTGCCACTCTCCTTTGGAAATAATGCTGCTCTGGACATTGATATATATGGTCTGAGTCATAGCTAATGTTTTACATACTTTCTAAATGCCAGGAAATTAAATTGTGTGATCTAGAATTTTTAATTTCTCTTGCAATCAAAGTCTTTCCATGAGATTTTGTAATTCACATCAAGAATGGATATGAGGTCACTATGCAAGTATTTTTTTCCTCTAGAGAAACCTGTATTTTGATTGTAAAAATGGGAAAAGATGTCCGTGGAAATGGCTGTTTATCTTACAGAGTAACTAGTGCTCCTAGCATTGCAGTTTCAGAATATTTTCCCTTCAGTTGGATTTATCAGCCATTCAAAGATGTAACAGTCAGGATTGATGCATAAATCTGGGTGACTGTTCACTGATGTATGAGAGCCATGTAACTGTGGGCCAGGCAGAACAGAATCTCCTGTTGTTTGTGCTTTCCTGTGTGGGAGTTAGGGTCTCATGTGGTCAGTGGTATGGTTTTTTTCAGAGGTGGCTGGATATGGGGTGTATGATGCTGGGATTCAGGGTATGTAATTACTAAATTGGTCCACTGATTGGTTTGGCATAGTTCAGAGATCAAAAATGGAATGTTAGGATTAAGGGTGTGAGTGCTACTCACCCTGAGAGTGAGTAGCCTCGATAAGGTGCTGGGACAAAAGCTTTGTCACTTGTCACTTTTTGCTACTTCTCCTATGCAGTACCCCTCTGCCATGCCACCTTTGGAGCCAGCCAACTATGGACTAAATCCTCTATAAACTGTGAGCTAATGAAATCTTTCCTCCCTTAACTTGTAGGTGTTGGATGTTTTGTCTCAGCAACAAGAAAATGTGTTATCAGGGAACTATAGCATTCTGACTAGTGTTTTTCTGAAGAAACTTGGAGAACTAATATTTTCTAGATTTCACATAAATTAATTGTTTTATTACCATACTTTTCATACATATAACAATATGTTGATAAGTGAAATAAAATGCCTGGGGACATCATCTTACATTAATTGTCAAGCACAAATGTATTGAGGTGTGGAAAAGTTGGTAATAGCACAGTATAGAACTGGAAATTATTGGAAAGAAAACACTCTGACCCCAGTAGGAATGTAGCATTATAAGAGCAAAGCAAGATAAATTATGCTGGTCAGCGTTATAAGGATGAGTGCCTCCGACCCAAGATTAGATGATGACTAAATTCAAAGTAACAGCAGTATGACTCAATTCAGAATGTGTAGGATTCACTTCAGAAGTAATACATACTCAATAATGACCGATGAGGTTTTTTTCTGTGAGAAGTAAACTAAAAGGAAGAAGTAAAAGAGGTAAATGACCCCTGACCAGAGATCAAGGTTGTTCGGTTATCAGAGTCAAAGGCTCTGAGAGTCTAAAATGAACTGGGGACAAGACTAAGCTGCTGCCGTTAGTAGAGCAGTGGCTCTAGAGGGGAGGAGAGATGGTGTCTCTATGAGGAGGCTGGAGGAGTTGGCAGGATAAGAGCCCTATCAAAATAAAAGTGCTGGTGACCCTCACATTATTCTATTGCAAGTACAGCATGAAAATCAAATTTTAATGTATACAAGTGGTAAAAAAACTAAATTTGTAGATGAAATCATGTATCAGAGGCTGTTAGAGTTCATTGGAGGGGAAGAAACAAGCTGATAGAAAAACCGCAAGAATCATGCAGAAGTTAGATTTCTGTGCATTACAAAGAAGACAGATTTTAAGGAAAAATATTTAATAGAAATAAATAAATAAATAAATTCCTGGGCCAGGGATGTAGTTTAGTGGTGATATTCTGAGTTTGATTCCCAGCACCAAAAAAAAAAAAAAAAGAAAAAAAAAGGAAGAAAAATTTCTGAGAGAATACTTATAGAGAAATAAGTGTTTTTTCTGAAGAAACAAAGTCAAGGGAAGTTCAGAAATATGATGAAATCAAGATGTTTTCCAAAACTTGTCTTCATAAAATATGGCTTAAGTAAATCTGACATATCATATGTTACTGATAGGAAGGCTTCTTAGGGTATCTTTAGAAACTAAAATGGAAATATAACCATTCTTTTAAATTTTTCATCAACATTTATGTGTAAAATTTATTTTTAACAAATTTTGGCAATACTAATTTCAGAAAACATGATGAAATACAAGTTAATTTGAGCTGTGACATTGCATTAAAACATGTTATTCATGAGCTCATGAGAAGTAGTCTTTAAGAAAGAATGAATTCTAGCTTTTTTAAAAATCATTTTCAAATTGTTTTTCAAAGTCTGAAGATGATAAGGAACAGTTAAAGAAACTTACTGATTTAAAACAATCTCTAGAATATACTTTGGATCAAGAAAAGAAGAAAAACATTGAATTAAATAAAGAGCTAACTGGGTAAGATTTTTATATGTCAAATCTTATCAATCATTCATTAAATAATTTCACTCACTTTACTAAAATACTAAATATGAACTTAATATTTGATTTTAATAAACAAATTAGTCTGTTTTAAAATTTACATCAGAAACCCCCAGCCTAGTCTGTTTTCTGAATGCCAAAATATTATCTACTCTGATGATTTCAAAAACATGACAGTGCTTGGAAATAATGTCAAGTACACTCTTTTTCCATCTACCTTGAATTTTTATTTCTAAAGATATCTTTCACTATCTTACCTTCTTTTGATAATATCCTTCCATTCAGCATTAAAATATTTTAATATCTAACAGCATATGTTCTTTAATAACACTAAAGTTAATCTTGACTTAGCTTGTATTTTCTTTGTACCACTTTCTCTTTTTAGTTATAAAATCTGTCACAGACTTAGACTTCTTTTCCATGGGTATTCCCATGTGTGTGTGGAGGTATACATGTTATTAAACTTCTGTTTGCTTCTAGTGTTGTGTGCTCATACACATGTATAATATGTAAATAATAATATTCAATCAGCCATTGATGTTTTCAGAGTATTGGTCCAAAATTCCCTCAGTTACCAAAGTCTTTGGATATTCAAGTCTGTTTTATATAATGGCATAGTGTTTACATATAATCTACTCAGTCTTCCTATATGTTATATCATCTCTAGATTACTTATAGCACCTAATACAGTGTAAATGTTATATAAGTCATTGCTATATCATTCAAGGAGTAATAACAAGAAAAAAAAACCATATATCTTCAGTACAGGTGCAGTTTTTTTCCTTAGTATTTTCAGTACACTATTGGCTAAATCCCTGGAAACAGAACCTACAGAATAGAAAGGGTTACTACATATGTCTCGCTCACAGAATGAATGTTTGACTTGTCGATGCAAATGTTTCTACCACCAGATGAAGGAAATGGAGTGTTTTCCAGGGGCTTAAAGCCTCCAACGTGGCTGCTTTTGTGTTTAATTGTGGGGAACTGAGTTTGTTTTGCTTCTAATCAGTATTTGTCTCTCCTTTCCCTGTCTTTACACTGTTTTGCACCTCTTGGTTTTTGTCAACATTGTGGTAGCAAAGCCTGACATTTCTTCTTTATTTATTTATTTTTTGTGGCAGAACCAGGGATTGAACTCAGGTCCTTCTACTTGCCAGGCAAGCACTTATTCTACTGAGCCATATCCCCAACCCCTGACATTTCTTCTTAAAACAGCCTTTTAGTCAACCCATTATTTCTCTATTGATTTCCTTTCTCCTAAACTTGGCCTCTTCTTTTCCTCTTCAACTCAAATTCAAAGATGATGTTTCCTCTGTCTCTTTTTCTTCTTGGAATGATCTCCTTGATGTACTTTTTCTTTATCTTTTTAAGCATTTATATATATTTTTCTTCACCTTGGTTTCTGATCTCTGAGTTTTAGATAATATTAATAAGTTAATGTTTATGTTGACATACCAAAGTGGATATTAATTGTAAAAATCTTGTATATGGTTACAGTATTAGCTCTTCACCTGCCACATATATATCATAAACTTTCTCTGCATATTACTTAACTAAGATTATAATTGCATCAGAGTATTTTCCAATGTTAGGTTGAAATAAATGAAAAAGGGTCATAATTTCTAAATTTGTTTCTTTTATGATAGAATATAATGCATGTTTAAACAGTTAGAATTTTTAAACTTTACTCTGTACATTCTTACAGGTTTAAGAAGCTTTTTAAAATGACAGAAACAAAGTTAAATGAGCAGGAAAATGGAGAGTTTTGTTTCCATGGAGATTTAAAATCTAGTGACTATGAAATGAATATTCCAATTAACACACTAATTCACAAGGTAATTTTTTATTAGTTTTGGGAACAAAAATTACTTAGCTTGGGGAACTATAAAACTGTGTTCTGAGCAATGAAACCCAGGGTTTTGGGTTTTGTTTTCACTTTTATAGGTTTGATATAAATGAAAAATGCACCAGTAAGCTCTGGCTAATGATATAAAACCAACCTGTACACCATTACATGACCCCAAGTCATGTGTGTCAAATGAATTTCAGGGATTAGTTACATCTTTACTGAAATACTGTTAATAAACCTTGAAATGTATTCATATAAAGTATGCAGTTTGGTGGTCTTTAGTGTATCCACTGAGTTAGCAATCATCACCAGCGATTCTTTCACACAAAAAAGAGAACTCAGACCCTTTAGCCATCACCCATCCCCTTCTCTGCTCAGCCTTAAAGAACCATTGATGTACTTTGTAGATTTTCTTCTCTTGAACAGTTTTGTTTTTTATATATTTAGTATAGGGTCTCACTATGTAGATCAGACTGTAGTGATCCTCTTGTTTTCAGCCTCCCAAGCACTGGAATTATCGGCTCACAGCACCATGCCCAGTCTTCTTAGACATTTTTGTATCAAATTATCCAATATGTGTTCAGGCTTCTTTTGGGACTGTCTTCTTTCACTTAGCATGTTTTCAAGATGTAGCAGGTATCCGTATTTAAGTTCCTCTTTTAAATAATATTTTCCTAAATGGATTTTTAATTCATTCATCAGTTGATGGACTTTGGATGGTCTCCACTTCAGCAGTTACTAATGCTGCTGTAGAAATACCTGTGAAGTTTTTGTGTTTGCCTGATTTCATTTCTCTTGGTTTATGAGTAGAACTGCTGAGTCATATAACTCTGTGCTTAACTTTCTGAGAAACTAGCAGTGTTAGTCTGTTTTCCAAATTGAATGCACCATTTCACATTCTACCAGCATTGTGTAAGACAGATTCTGTGCATCCTTGCCAACAGTTTTCCTTCTGCCTCAACCTTCCAGGTTCTGAGATTACACTACACGCGGGTGCCACCACACCCAGCTTTGGGTTATCTTTTTTTTTTTTTTTTTTTTTAAAGTGTGAGTATTCTGTATATCCTAAGCATACATCCCTTATCAGATACATGATTTTCAGATATCTTCTGCCACTCTGTGGCGTTGGCTTACCTTTACACTTTCTTGGTGTTACCTTTTTCAACATATTTAATTTTGACAAAGCCTAGTTAATCTGTTTTGTCTTATCTGGTAAACTTACCAAATCCAGTCAGGTTATGCCTATATATTCTTTTAAGGTTTTCATATATTTTTTAAATTTTATATTGATATATTTGTGGTATATAGTGATTACATTCAACTTAAGCAGTTGATACAGATCACATCTTGATTATTTTTATTCCCCTTCACTACCCATAGTCTGCCCTCCCTCCTCTGAAGATCCCCTTCCCATCCCTACAGAGTCCTCCTTTTTTTAGCATCCATCTTTTATTTTTATATTTAAACTAGTTATATTTTTGGTCTCAGAGAAACCATAGAATGTTTAATCTTCTGTTTCTGACTTGTTTTACTTAATATTATAGTCTCAGGATCCATTCATTTTTCTACAAATGACTTATCTCTATGGCTGAGTAATACTCCATCATATGTGTAAATGAAGAAGGCCACATATTCTTTATCCATGTATCTGTTGGTAAACATGTAGACTGTTCCATAACTTAGCTATTTTGAGTTATGCTGCTATAAATATGAGTCCACATTATCGCTAACATGATGACTTTAGCTCTTTCAGGAAGGTACCCAGAAGCAATAAGGCTGGCAAGCTGAAATTTCTATTTTCAGTCTTGTGCAGAATCTTCATACTGAGTTCCATGGTGGTTGTACTGGTTTACATTACTAGTACATTGTTGGGAGCTTACATTACTCCCAACAATGAAGAAGGGCTAATTTTCCCCACAAGCTCACCAGCATTTGTTTATTGAGTTTTTGATAACAACCACTCATGCTGAAGTAAGACAATCTCAGTGTTGTATTGATTTACATTTCTCCAATGGCCACAGATGTTAAACAATTTTTCATGTGTTGATTTGCCATTTGTACTTCTTCTGAGAAGTGCCTATTCATTTCAGTTGTGCAGTTTTTATTTGGTCTTCTATTCTTGGAGGGTCTAATTTATTTAGTTCTTTATACATTCTAGCTGTCAGTCCTCTGTCTGAGGACAGCTGACAGAACCTTTTTTCCATTCTGTGCACATTTCTTTATTCTGTCAATTGTCTTCTTTCCTATTGAAAATCTTTTCAATTTGATATCTGTTGTTGATTCTTTGGTATTGTGTCTTATGCAGTTGGGGCTCTTTTCAGGTAATTCTTGCCAATGCCTGTTATCTTCAACAGTTTTACCAATCTGTCTTCCAGCAGATTCATTGTTTCTGATTTTGAATTGATTTCAGTCAATCTAGATTCACCACTTGAGCTTGCCAGGGAAGCACTTACTCTACTGAGCCATCTCCCCAGCCCCTCTAGATTCACTCTTCTGCACATGCATAACCAGTTTTCCCAGTCCCATTTGTTGAAGATTCTGTCCTATCTCCAGTATATATTATTGGCCACCTTATTCCATTGGTCAGCATTCCTGTTTTTATACCAGTATTACACTGTTTGTCATAATATAACTTGAAGTTTGGAATTGTGATTTGAATATAACTTGAAGTCTGGAATTGTAGTGCCTCCTGTGTTGTTATTTTCCCAGTTGCCTTTAGCTATTCTAGATTTCTTCTGGTTCCTTATCAATTTTAGAAATTTTTTTTCTTTCTTTTTGTACCAGGAATCAAACTTCCTTGTGCTTGCCAGGCAGGCACTTTTTTTTTTTTATTTCTGTGGAAAAAAAGCTAATGGTATTTTTGATTAGAATTGCACTAAGTCCATTTACATTTTTTGATAATAAGGCCATTTTAACAATGTTGACTCTGCTTATCTAGGAGCACGGGGCTTTTCCTTTTCTAATAGCCTGTCTCTTTTCAAAGCAGTGTAGGGCTTTCACTTCCCATTGGGTTAAATCCTAGGTACTTAAAATTTTTTGAAGCTCTTACTGGGACTGTTTTCCTTATTTCCAATAAAGAGTTATTAGAATTTTATCATTCTCTATTCTATTCCATTGGTCCACATGTCTGTTTTTGTACCAGTACTGTGGTGTTTCTACTACAGTAGCTTTATAGTATAGCTTGGTGTTATAGAAATTGTGTTGATTTTTTTTGTGTGTGCTTGCTGGGGAGATAGCTCAGTAGAATAAGAGTTTGCATGGCAAGCACAAGATCCATAATATCTCAAAAAAAAGGATTTTTTTGGTGCTAATTGTGTATTCTGCCTCTTGATGGAAGTTACTAGAGCCTTCTGAGGGAGTTGTTTTGTTTTGTTTTAATGAGCAGAATATATTTATTGAGAGAAAGAAAGCTCCTGTCCAAGAGAGGGACAGGAGGGGGGCTGGAGCGGGTGGTTCCCCCTGATGGAGTTTTTTAGTCTTCTTTGCAAAGGATCAGGTCATCTCCTTTCCTATTTAAATCCTTTTAGTTCTTTATCTTGCCTGATTGCTGTGGCTAAAGTTTTGAGTACTGTATTGAATAGGACTGATGAGAGTGGATGGCCTTGTCTTGTCATGAATTTAGAAGGGATACTTTCTGTTTTGGGTTCCTAATCAATATAGAAATCCAAGTAGCCAATTAAAAATTTGAAGGTTTTTTTATTAGCTTAGTTCAGTGACCATCAGCATAGACCCATTTCAGAGACTAAGTGAGCAGTGCTGACCAGAGGACATGAAGAGTATATAAAGAAAATATGCAGTATATCCTGCATGTCAAACAGAATAAGATATATAGCATCCTGCTTGTCAGACAGTTAGATTAGCACCCATCCTGCCTGTCAAACAGATTCTTTTCTTGCTATACATCTGGCTACTTTTTTTTCCTGTTATTGTTTAGGGTCAGCGCTTTCTCAAGGTATATTTCCTCCATATGGTTACTTGTTTTACACGTAGGCCTGTTTTTACAACTCTGGGGTCAGCTAAAGTTTATCATGGCAATACTTATGCTACGAGTCTGAGCTTAGGCCATCACACTTCCAATTTTTCTCCATTTGATAGGACATCATAGTGGGTTTTTCATAGTGGCTTTTATCAGTTTGAGCTAAGATCCTTTTACACCTTTTTCATCCAAGTCTTTATCAGGAATGGATGTTGGATTTTGTCAAAGGCTTTTTTTTTTTTTTTTTTTTTTTTTTTTGCTTCTATTCAGATGAACTTGAGATTTTTTTATTCTTTATGTGTTGTATTATATTCATTGATTTAACATATATTGAACGATCCTTTTATACCCTGGTAAAACCCACTTGTTCATGATGAATGACCTTTTTAATGTTTTGTTACATTCTCTTTTAAATACCATGTTGAGATTTTTGCATCTGTGTTCATTAAGGAAACTGGCCTGTAATGTTTCTTTGGTTTGTTTCCTAATCTTTGGCTGGTCATAAGGGCAGGATTATTCTAGTTTTAAGAAATTAATTTGGCTGTATTTTTTCCCTTTCGACTTAAAGGAAGAGTTTGAGATTTATTTGCATTAATTTTCCCCTGATGCATTGATAAAAATTCTGTGTTAAATCCATCAGGTCTTGGACTTTTATTGATTGATATTTATTACTGCTTCAATTTCATTGTGTCTTACTGGTCTGTTGTGAGTGCTTCTATGTTCTTGATTCATATTTGGTAATTTATGTGTGTCTAGGATCTATCCAAGTTTTCTAGATTCTCCAATATATTGGAATGTAAGTTTTCAAAATAGTTTCTTATATACCACTGGATTATGACCCTGTTGATCATGAAAATTACCTTTTTAATTTCTTTTTTGTTTGTTTTGTACTGGGAATCAAACTCACTGGTACTTTATTGGTTTGGGTTTTTTTTTTTTTTAATTTGTCATTAATTTCCCCTCTGATCTTTATAATTTCATTCCTTGTACAAGTTTTGAACTTATGTTGCCCTTCTTTTAGTACATTATTAGATTATTATTTGGGCTGTGGACATTCACAGCTATGAACTTCCTCTTAAGACTGCTTTTATTATGTTTTATATGTTGTGTTGCCATTGTCATTTGATTCTAGGAACTTTTTAATTTTTTTAATTTCTCCTGTGACCCATTAAGAGTGTATTATTTAATGTCTGTGTTTATATAATTTCTATGGTATCTTTTCTGTTGATTTCTAGTTTCTTTGTGCTGTGGTCTGTTAGTATACTTGAGATTATTTAAGGGTTTTATTATTATTACTATGTAAGCATGCTTTATGGCCTCAGCTGTGGCCTGTTTTGGAGAATGTCCTGTGTGCTACTGAGAAAAATGTGTATTTTGGATGAAACAGTCTGTAGATATCTGTTAAGTATACAAAACAAAAGGACCCACAGGAAATAAGACATCAATCAGAGTGAGTAGCTAAGCAAAAGGGTAAAAGTAAAGAAATCAGCAACAGAAGAATAATGCAGTGATAGGATTCAGCAAATACCTTTCAGGAATAACTCTCAATGTAAATGGTCATAATGCTCCAATCAAGAGATATAGATAGGCAGATTGGATCCAAAAATATAACCCAATTGTATGTTGCCTACAAGAGACACACCTCATGCATAAAAAAACGTAAGACTTGCTTTTTTTTTTTTTTTTTTTGTACCAGGGATCAAACTGCCTTGTGCTTGCCAGGCAGGTGCTTTTTGGGAATAAAGCTAATGGTATTTTGATTAATATTGTATTAAGTCTGTATAGCATTTTTGGTAATGTGGCCATTTTGTCAATATTGGTTCTGCCTACCCAGACTGAAAGTGAAAGGATAGAAAACAATATTCCATGCAACAGGAGCTGAAAAGCAGTCAAGAGTAGCTATCATATTTTCAGACAAAGTGGACTTTAAGCTAGAACTGATAAGAGATAAAAGCACCACATGATGGTAAAGGGAATATTTCAATAGAAAGACATAACAGTTATAAAGGTTCCAGATTTGATAAAATAAATGCTACTGGACAGAACAGATTAAGCATCACAATCATTGTGGGGGCTTCAACAGCACTCCTCACAAATAGGTCAACCAGACAAAAAGTCTACATTTAGACTTTGAACATATCAGAGTTCAATCACACCAGTGGACCAGTACTTTTATTCCTTACATTTAGCAGTTATATTTTGAGTTAGTTCATATATGTGATATTTTTTAGGAGTCTAACTTTATTCTTTTGCATGTGATTACCCAGTTGTATCTCAGCATCATCTTTTTATTGAAAAGCCTATTTTTTTCCTATTTAATAGTTGTATCATGCTAGCTAAAAATTGTTCATAAATATACAGGTTTATTTTTGTAGTCCTAGTTTTAATATAATTCTTCCTGTGCCAATACCAAATTGAACTGGAATCTCCAATGAGGTCTCCTTCCTAGTCCTGTTGTATGCTGCTAGTTGTCTTTCCTAATTGTCAGTAAATATAGTGGGATGCCTTTCTCTTCACTCTTGATATTTTTCTTCTTGAAGGACATTCCTGGGAATTCAGGCTTACAAAGCAGAGTCTATTCCTTCTGTTTTCTCCATTCAAACCTTTACTCTTCCATCCAGTGCTTCCTTTATCATTCCTAGTCCTCCAAACTTGTAAAGAGGATCTACTAACTCAGAATATTATTTATTGCGTGTTTCATTAACTCTTTGTCTAGCTTTTTACCAACTAGTAGAGAGGACATTAATTTAGACTACCATTCTTCCCATATTGGAAGTCGCATGATGTCATTTTTATCACACTCTAGTCATTAAAGTAAGCCAAGGGTCGGCCAAATAGCTCAGCAGGGGCCTGCCCTACGGGCCCTTCCCCTGGGACACACTGAGATAGCAGTTGTGACTGGGCAGGGTGTCATGCACCTGTAATCCCAGCTATTGGGAGGCTGTAAGCAGGAGAATCACTATAAGTCCGATCTAGTAGTGAGACACCCTGTAGACCCTTCCCTAAAATACAAAAAATAAAATAAGCTAAATATTGACCCACATATTCTTACCTCTTTCATAGAATGAATATTGTAAAAAGATATGTTCTAAAATCAGTGCAGGAGGCTAAGGAGATAGCTCAGTAGAACAACCGTTTGACTGGCAAGTGAAGGGCCTGAGTTCAATCCCCGGTTCCACCAAAAAAATAAAAAATAAAAATAAAATCAGTACACTCTGCCAATCAACTGTAATGTTTTTATATCCCTCCTACTCAATACTTACTGCAAGTCTCACATATTGTGGTATCACGTGCAAGCACTAGATCTTCCCACCTAGGCAGGTGCAAACAGGAGTGAGGTACCTGGATTGCAGACACTAGAGAATGCTGTCCCTCTCTGCATGAGTCAAAAATAACAGAAGAAACAAGTTGTCACCATCCACAAAGCATTCTGCTAAATAGCTAAAAACTTTCTTTCTCAATAGAGCATATTTGGGACGCACCAGTGTCTGCTGCTACTGTAATCAGTGAAGAATTAGTTCTTGACATGGGACAATTCCCTGGGGTCTTTCTTTAGACCCTGACCACTCTGATGCACTCTTTTCTTAAGAAAGAACCTGTGCAACTGACTAGTTTTCTCAGCCTGCTTCCTACATGCAGAACTACTAAAATCCAAAGTTCTCTTTCATGTTTACTACCTTGGTCTCTTAGTTCAAGCTCGTGAGAAGTGGTTTTCTTGCTACATTTTCTTGACAGCTTTACATTTCCTGTAAATTTTATTGGATTCATGCCCTTTGAAAATTAACTTTCACAAATCTTTTTGTTTTGCGTTAGACTGTCCTCAACGCACTAACCAATCTGTGTTATTTTATTCATGCAGATCGATGATCTTGCAGCAAAACTGGAAACTACATCTTCCAAATGTCTACATCTGGATAAAAATAATCAGTTTCTAAACCAGGAGTTATTATCTATGAAAAATATACAAAAGAAATGTGAAACACTAGAGAAGAATAAAAAGAAGTTGGAACAAGAAGTAGTAAACCTGAAAAGCTACATAGAACAAAATGTTGTAGAACATGGCCACCTAGAACAGTATAAGCAGGAGATTGAAGAAAGAGCAAGACGAGATTTAGTGGAAAAATTAAAACAAGTCAATTTATTTTTACAGGTTAATTTATTTATCTTTAATGTGTTTAAATCATTTCATTGAAAATTACATTTGGATGTTTCTATTGTATGTATTTCTTCTGCTTCCCGTACAACTTTTGTCTTGTTCCTTTCTAAAAGATGACGTCTTGCCTTCCATTAAATATTTCCATTTCATTATAATTAAATTACTCTTGTAGAATAATACTTATTTGAGAATCATTTGATTTTTTTTTAAATCTAATGGACATAACACTGTTAAGAGCAAAAAAAACTTATAGTGTAGCAGTTGTACGATACCCTTGAATTGTTGTTACCTTGTTCAGTTTTTAAATTTTTTAATTATATTCTTTGAATTATTGGATTATATGAGTAATAAGCATGATTCAGGGCTAAAAATGGAACTCAATGGTAGAGTGCTTGTTTAGTACTGGGTTGGATTCCTAGCACTACCAAAAAAGAAACAGATTCAAAATTTTTATAATTCAGATTTAATGCAGTTGATACTGATGATAAATTGCAGCATCTTTTTTACATAGATAAAATTACTCTCTGAATTATTGGCCTAAACCTACAGTAACTATGAGTTATTATCAAAAACAATACAGTGAATGTTTTAAATTTTTTAAAAAAAATTTTCACAATATAAAAGACACATTACTATTAGACCCCCTCCAAGTATATTCCCTCCCAAGGAAGATACTGGTCCCATCATTATTGCCACTTTTTCAAGCACTTCTGGAAGTGGTCCTTTGCGAGAACTCTCATTTGTGCTGTCACAGCTGTCTTGATATCCTAATTGTGTCAAAATATTTACATTTTCTTGTCATTCTGACTGTGGGAAAAAGCCAGAAGTCACATGGGGCCAGATCTGGTGGATAAAGTAGAGAAGAAAGAGGACACACCATCATGTTTCTGTGGTCCTGCCTTTCCACTGAATGGCACCTAGCAGGAGCGTTTACTGTATTTTTAATTCCACCTTATAAAGACATTCATGAAAGAGGACTTCTAGAAGTGCTTCAGAAAATGGCAAGAATTGGGGCTGGGGAGATAGCTCAGTGGAATAAACGCTTTCCTGACAAGCTCAAGGGGAGATAGCTCAGTGGAATAAACGCTTTCCTGGCAAGCTCAATCCCCGGTTCTGCCAAAAAAAGAAACAAAATGACAAGAATTACAGGATATGTGTGTTCAAAAGTAGAAGTATTTTGAAGGTAATCAATAGCAGTAAGATTTTTACTGTCAAAAAATGTTTGAATTTAAACATTCACTGCATATTATGATTGCCTTTGTATTTGGGTCATAATTTTTAAAATATATCTTTTAATTTGCCTTAGACACAAGCAGCATCTCAAGAACATTTAGAGCAGTTAAGAGAGAGTAATAATGCTTCAATGAGAAATCAAATGGAACTCAGGATTAAAGACCTGGAATCAGAGCTCTGTAAAACAAAAACTCAAGAAGATTCCAATAAAATACAACTGGAAAAATATAAGCAACTCTACATAGAAGAATTCAGAACTAGAAAATCATTGTCCAGTAGGCTAAACAAGTAAGTCAAAACAGAATCATAGAAAATAAACTAAGCTCATTAATTTTTCTCTAAAGCATCAATTTTAGAGACAGGTTCATGACATTAGGTATGAATGCTAACTAGACATTTGAAAAATAAAGTTCATCTTTGAAATGTTAATCCAGGACAGTTTATATCCCCGCCCCCTTTTATTGGATTTTGGTTTGTTGAGAAAAGGTCTTACTTCATAGTGCAGGCTCCCTTGAACTCAATGTATAGCCCAGCTTGGCCTCAAACTCACAGCAATCCTTCTGCCTCAACCTCCCAAGTGCTGAGATTACAGATGTGTGCCACCATGCCTAGCCTAGTTTTAGGATTCTTAGGTAGTTAATCTGATGAGGTCATTCAGGTATTTTTGAAGGTTTATCATTAAAAAAAAGTTATATTGCAATAATAGTACATGTTGCCATTCATTTATATAGAATTATTAACCTTATTTTTGGGAGATTACAATAAAAGTACTACTGATACTAGACACATTCTGTAATGCAGTAAAATAGCTTTCCTTCGTGTTTTTTTGTTTGTTTGTCGCCAGCTCAGCCCACCCCAGGGGGTTGTAGCTAGCGTGGCATGTGGTGCCAAGGATTGCCTAAGCATGCACTTTGGACTGCTTAGCTATCTTACTGGCCCCTTTTTTGGTGGAACCAGGGATTGAACTCAGGCCCTTCTGCTTGCCAGGCAAGCTCTTATTCTACTGAGCCATCTGCCCGGCCCCTACACTGGCCCCTTCTTTGTGATCATTGGTGTTATCTCTAGAAGCTGCCTGGAAACCTGTCTGTTTTTTCTCTTTTACATAAAGTTATACTTGTGATGTAGGGAAAGAGTGACAGGGATGAGAAGTGTACTTGTGAAGCAGTGTGAGGGATGGGTGGAAGACAAAGGAGGAGGGTCTGCCTGCAGTGCCTTAGGAAAGAGGTTCTGGCCCAGGAGCTGCCCTGGTTCTTTGTGATCACGAAGCTAGCGGCCTCCTCCCCTGGAGATGTTTGCTCTAAATTACTTTCTCACTTCCAGGTAATGGGCAGATATACAGGTGCAAAAGCTACCTGGTACAAAGACTGGAACATGTCTTTGAAAAATGTTTTTTTAAAATACCTAAACTGTTTAGCTAAATAGAAGTATTTCTAACTTTGGTTTCAGGTTTTAGTTGTATATATCTAAGGAGTACAACATAATGGTTTCATGTTTATTTGAATATCATACACACACATATATATGTACTTTTTTTTTCAGTATTGGGGATTGAATGAAGCCCCCTTTTTTTTGGATACAGGCTTGGCTCCAACTTGTGCTCCTCCTGTCTCAGTTTCCTAAAGTGCTGGTATTATAGATGTATATATTTATACAGAGTGAAACGGCTATTTTAGTCAGGCTAATTAGCCTATCCATTATCTCTTATAGTTACCCTTTAAATGCATGTGTTTCTAGTGGCTTCCTCAAGAAGCTTCTGAGTAGTCTTAGAGGAAGTAGCAGTGTTTCCTGGTAAGCCAGACACCCTTGACAAACATTTTTCTTTCTTCTGCTTTGTGAGAATTACTTGTTAGTTAGGAATCCCTCTACAAATAAATGTACTTCTCTAGAACGATTTTAGTTTTTCTGTGATAGTCATGCTGTAATATTAACGTTACAGCATAATGTTAAGGCACTGAACATGGAATGGAAATTCCATTGACTCTTATGGCAGTTGTTTTAAATGAAAGTCATTTTAAAAAGTCATTTAAGGCTGGGCGTGATGGTGCATGCCTATAATCCCAGCACTTGGAGCTGAAGCAGGAAGATTACTGTGAGTTGAAGGCCAGCCTGGGCTGTATAGTGAGACCCTGTCTCAAAAAACTAAAAAAAAAAAAAAAAAAAAAAAAAAGGAGGGAATCAGGGAAAAATGAGATACTAAGTATTTTCTTTTTGTAATCTTTGCAGAGCTAATGAGAAGCTAGAAGAAGCCAATACCAAACTTCTGGTGGAGAAACAGCAAAGCAGATCTTTGCTGAACACTGTTAGTACAAGACCTGTCCTAGAGTGTCCTTGTGTTGGAAATTTTAATCATAGTTTGGGGCTACACAGGAGTTTTCTTCCCAGTGAAAACTTGGTGGTTTGTACTTTAAACCCACAGTCTTCAAACAACAGCATAGAGAACTACCTCACCAAGGTTAGTGATAGTACTGCCTTTCCTTTGTATCTGAAATTTCTGATTTAATTCTTACTGTTAATTTGGTGATATACTGGGCAGGGGTAATAGCTCCTGGTGGAGCCCTGGGCTAGGATACATAAGGTCTGAGTTGATACCTGGAGGAGGGGTTAATCTGATGAAATACCATGTTTAGTTGACTTACACATGGGAAGTAAAGATCACACTAATATGTGTGTGTGTTTTTTTTTTTTTTTTTTTTTTGCAGAACCAGGGATTGAACTCAGGCCCTTGCACTTGTCAGGGAAGCGCTTATTCTACTGAGCCATCTCCCCAGACCCTAATATGTGTTCATATAAAGAAAGGAAGCAGAAATTTATATTTTTTTAAGTTCCTATAGCTTTCATTTTCAAGAGATATTTGTTAACTTTCTTCAGTTAGTATAACTGAACTAAATGTGGTGTAGTTTTCAGAACTTTGGTAACAGGACAAGTTCATTGATATATTTAGATACACCTAATACAGTGCCTAGATTTAGTATATATATGTTTTTTTTTTTCTTTCTTTTTTTAATGTATTTAGTACAGGGTCTCACTACACTGATCAGACGCATAGTGATCCTCCTGTTTTCAGCTTCCCAAGTACTGGGACTATAGGCCCACACCACCATGCCCAGTCTCAATCACTGTCTCAGCATGCCACACGGGTGCCGGGCTGGCGTGGCCCACCGGGGATTGAACCCCGGTCCCTGTGTCTGCCTAAGCAGGTATTTTAATCCACTGAGCTATCTGGAAGGCACTTAGATTTAGTATATTTCAAGTCAAGGAAGAAGAAAACTTGTCTGTTGGGTATATGTTGTCATTTTTCTTATTGGGACTACAGTGAGGTAGCAGAAAATGATGCTCAGAACACAGGTAAGAGAGATGGCGATTGATGTCACAGCTTTGTTGCAGGCACATGACTTATGAGTGGGATGCAGGCATCTGAGTGCCTCATCAGAGATCACACTTAAGCACACACTTAGGGGAAGAAACGAGTGCCTGACATCTTTCCCAGCAGCAGCTTTGCAATGAGACAGCATGCCTTTAAAAAAAAAAGCCAGCAAAATAGCTCAACAGACTAAGCACCTGCTTAGGCAAGTGCAGGGATGGGTTCGATCCACTATACCACATGCTGTCCCACACCCAGCCCTGCCCCCACAGCCCTCCACTACCTCCCCACCCCCGCACTGCACTGGCCAATGAGACAGCATGGTGGTGCCTGCCTGTAATCCCAGCGCTGGGGAACCTGAAGCAGGAGAATCACTACAAGTCAAAACTGCATAGTAAAACCCTGTACCAGATACATTAAAAAGGAAAGAAGAAAGAAAGAAAAGACAGAAGAACTTGTCTTTACACCTAAAATTCTTGAAAGCATTGAATGTCATGTTATCATTGCTACCACAAAGTATTTTGTTGTATGTGATACGTTACATCCTGCTTGTAGCATTAGTAAGATAAAGCTTATACAGAAGATTTAAGTAAGAACGCATTAGCTGGAGAAAGTACAAAACAGATAGGGTTATTCCCCCACATTTCATAAATAGAAAAACTAATGAGTCACATTTCAAAAAAAATTGACTCCTAACTTCTGAAAAGATTGCAAAGTTACAATAAGAGCTATATATTTTTTTCTCTTTTTCCATTTCTAGAAAGTAATGAATCAAAGAAAGTTTGAAAACTGGCTCAAACCTGCTTACTCTTTCAAAGCAAATTCCTGAAGCCTTTGTATTATTAATATTTATTTAGTCACAATCAATAGCGTATGTTAAGTCTTTTAGCAGCAGACTTTTTTTTTTCAACAAAAAATGGAAATATACTTTTTAAAGTTTCTAATACTAGGAGAAGATATCATATAATGTCTTTTACATAAATTGTAAGTCAAAGATACAGTATAAATCTTAGAACAAAAATTAAGATTAAGCAATATTCAGAAAATTTAATGTTTCAGAACAATTGAACTAAGAAAAAGTTTTCATGATAGCAAAGAAGTACTAAGAGTAAAACATAAGATAAATACTGGAATGGCAAGTAAATGACCAGCACTTCTAACAGTTTGAGGATAGGATATCGCACAAAGTTCTAGTGTGTTGTGGACGTGCATAATGACCGTGACAGTTACTGGTGGCCAGGTGTCACTTGTGGGACTGAGCTACAGCTATTTCTTTGAAATCCACCCTGTAGACTCAGGTGGAATCATGACCCATAGGGTGGAAGAGAAGTCCATTTGTAGAGTGTGCTGATGTAGCAGCAGACTTTTTGTATGATATTTACAACAAACAGCTTTCTCCATTTCTGTATGTAAGAGTCAGTGCTAAAAAATCAATAACAATATATGTTAAATTTTTAATTTATATCATAGGGGGAATGGGAAAAAGAAAAAGGAGTAGATCAAGTTATGTCATCATATATGGGTACAAATACACTATGGTAAATATGATTATTATATATACTTAAAACGTACCAATAAAATTAAAGTCTTAAAGACCACATTTTCTGTGTGATGCATATTATTCACGTAAAATGTCTTATTTAACTTGAACATTATAAATGTTTGATTTATTTCAGATGCGCCAAGAGTTGGAAAATAGTATAACTAGAGAACTAAGAGACGGTATGTTCCCAAAATTTATGAATTATAATTTATATTCATA